AGGCGGGTGGGGTGGGGAGGCGAGCCGGGGCTGCAGCACTCGCCCGCTTTTGGGGGTTTGGGGGAGTTGGTGAAGTTGCTGCCGGGATGTGTCTTCCAGCGAGAGCCGCAGCTGCTCCGAAAGCTGCTGGGGAACGGGAGGCAATGTCTGGGCTTTCTTTCTGAGGTTGTTTTGCTCTTGTTTTCCTCCCCCCCCCGAGCGGAAAGGGGAAGGGGGCTTCTAGTCCTGTGTGCTGTCTTGTAGCAAATGGCAAGGCCAGAGGTTGGGCAGGCTGTGACCTTGGCCGGGGCGGACGGGACCCCTCTTTCTAGAAGCTGTGAAACGTGCTGGGGAGGAGGGACCTACTGCTCCGGGGCTGGATGGACCCCCCTAATGGGGGGATGGAAGCGCAAGGCACGCGCTTACTTCTTGCAAAGATCTTCAGGACCTAATTTGCCTGTCTTCTCCTGGGCGGTTTTGGTTTTGTGTGTGTTTTGGTTTTTTTTTTTCATTTGGCTTTTGTGTTCAAGTTTGTAACCATCTCAGAGAATTTATTCACAATCTGATTTTATTCCAGCTTGCTGGAAAAGTTGCATATCACCACTGACACGTTCCGCTCCTGTGCGTTCCTCCCAGTAGTAGAGTCAGTCCAGTAGTTGCTTCCCTTGCAGTAAGCAACGGGAAGAAGAGAACGTGCCTCTTTCTCGTTATCGGTCGCATGCCTTGCAGCCTGGGGTTTCAGAATAGCTCAGCACCATCTGCATGTAGACAAATGCCTCCTCCTGGGTGTAGCTGCACAGTCCGGGCTAGTCGCGTGTGTTCTGCCCGCCATGTGCGCGCACGCAGATAGCCGAAGTATTTGCTGCAGGATTGGAAAAGGTTCTTTAGCAACTACTGTGAGCTGATAACAACCCCTTCCGACAGTTATCTGTGGGTAGTGGGTGTTAGCAGAGTGAGTTGTCATATCTGTGGGCTTATGTGACTTCATGACCTGTTTTCATCACCTCTTTCTTCTTCCCATTGCCCCCTCCCTCTTTTTTCTTTTGCAGGGTGATCTTGAGTTCTTCTTAACTTGCTAGTGCTCAGCCTCCTCATGCCTCCATCTCCTTTAGACGACAGGGTACTAGTGGCACTTTCGAGGCCAGTGAGACCTCAGGATCTCAACCTTTGTTTAGACTCTAGCTATCTTGAATCTGCCTCTGCTGCTGGTGAGAGCCACTCCAGTCTGCTTGGCGCAGCTGTCGTGTCCCTAAAGACTGCTAATCTCACGTATATGCCCTCATCTAACGGCTCTGCACGCTCCGTGAGTTGTGGATGCAGCAGTGCCAGTTGCTGCACTGTGGCAACGTACGACAAGGACACTCAGGCCCAAACTCAAGCGAGCACCAGCAGCGCCAGTGCCGGAGCCTCCACCGCCTGCCCTGCCAACCAAATGGTCAACAGCAATGAGAACACCGGCAGCTTGAGCCCGCTGGGCGGAGTGGGGAGCCCGGTCTCAGGCACCACCAAGCAACTCGCTAGCATCAAAATCATTTACCCCAACGATCTGGCAAAGAAGATGACCAAATGCAGCAAGAGCCACCAACAGAACCAAGGGCCTGTCATCATTGACTGCAGGCCATTCATGGAGTATAATAAGAGCCACATTCAAGGGGCTGTCCACATTAACTGTTCTGACAAGATCAGCCGGAGGAGGCTCCAGCAGGGCAAGATCACCGTCTTGGACTTGATCTCCTGCCGGGAAGGCAAGGACTCTTTCAAGAGGATCTTTTCCAAAGAAATCATAGTTTATGATGAAAATACCAATGAGCCAAGCAGAGTAATGCCTTCCCAGCCACTCCACATAGTGCTGGAGTCACTCAAGCGAGAAGGCAAGGAACCCCTAGTCCTAAAAGGTAATTCTTCTCTTTGCCCATGTGTAACCTCGTGGTTTGCTTTGCAGTGTGTGTATTCTGCCATCAGCCTTGCTGATGGTTGAACTTCCAAAGCATGTGTGTGTTTCTAGGAAGCCCTGTGCGCTTTGAGTCACGGATGGCAAAGCAAATGTCTTCCATGAACATAGCGAGGAGATGCTTGCTTTCCTCTTACTGTTGTCCTTGACTAGCAGAAAGGGTGGGAACTGGAAGGAGAGGGAAATGTGCTTCCTGGTGTCTGTCTGTGCAGACAAAGAATTTCCCCCGGTGCTTGCTCTGAGTATTTATAGCCCCAGGGGCAGAGGTCCAGGAGGGTATACTTCTCTTTTAGCTCGTCAGACTGACCTTTACTTAGGAGACTTTATTTTAGTCTGTATAAAACTGAATTTGTAGGTGCTGGAGCTAGGCAGTGGAAGAGTAGAAGGGAGGAGGAAAGATGAGGGAGGCCGTTTGGTCTGAGGCATTGTGTCATGGACCAGTCAGCAAAACTTGAGGAGCAGTCAAGCCTTGTTATGGTGGTATGTGGCCAGAGTAATGGACAGAGGGAGATACTTCGTCTAAAAAGTCATCTGAAAGTGTTGTGTTTACATGTGTGCGTGCTTATATATGTGTATGACTTTACAGGAAAGGCTCCTGTTTTAATGTGGTGTTCGGTCTATCCCTCAGTGTTCTGGGGGAAATGAGCCCCACCAGCTAAGGCAGCATCCAAGGACACTTCCCTTTCTTCGCTTGATTCTGTAGCTCCTATTTATATCAGTGCTGCCCTCTAGATTGAATCTCCTCTCCATGGGTGTTTATGCCATTCAGAGGCATGGTTGGCAGAAGCTGGCTGCGGCTCTGCGCAACTTGTGGAAAGAGTTGTTGCTTAGATCACACTGTATGTATCTAATTCACTTATTTTTTTCTGTACAGCTTACTACTTCTGACGTGCACAACATGGCAGGAGCATGGATTGGGCTGATAGTTTATCCCCTTTTCTGTTTAGGTTCAGAGCTTTATGGGAGCTAAAGGTCCTGGGAGATACTCTTCTGTGGGTGTATCTTGTGGAAGCTTAAAATTGCACTGAACTGTTTTTTTTTTAAATTGCTTCCAGCAAGTGTATGGTTATGCTGGGTTTACTTTGACAGTTGTTACGGGTTCCCCGTATGCTTTTATTGAATCTCTCTGGTCATGATGGTGACCTTCATCTGTAAAAAAAAAAAAAAGGGGGGGGGGGAAGAGAGAAAGTGCTGTGGAGGGTAGAGGTTAATGCTGAAGTCCTGTGTCTCTGGCAGTAGTCGTTCTGTTGTACAGCTCTTACAACCGGATGTATGGTTGTAGTCTGGAAGCCTTCCTATCCTTAGAAAAGTGGGATGCTGAAGGCGTCTTCTCTGTGCTTCTCTGAAAACACTGACGCTCCTGTGGCCCTCAAACCAGCAGTGTTTTAGTACCTGCAGTAGGAGGCCCTGGCTGAGATGGAGCCACAGAGCTGTAGCTGGGCAGCACCGAGCTGCCGGGTCCTGTGGGCAGGTTGTGGGCAGCCTCTTCTCCCGCCTTCCAGCCCTGGGTTGAACTGAGTGCTCGCGGGATTGCTTGGGCCGCTTCTGGTGTTCAGCCGCCGAGAAATGGTAGCGTCTGTTAGCAGAAATTCCCTGCCCCGACTCTTCTGCCAACAGATCTGGAAGCGTGCTAGAAGACAGAAGCAGCCCAAATCCTTTGCTGTGCGGGTGTCGTGACCGACTGGGCCAGAGCAGACCTCACCTGGGGAAGCGTGTAGCGAGGAGCTCCCCCATCACCTTAATTCCCCTCCCCTCCTTTGAAGTGGGGCTCGAACGGGGGTCGGCCGGTGTCGAGCACGCAAGAAAGCGTTATTTAGGAAGGCCGTGGCTAAGTTTCTGAGCCCGAGGAGCGGCGCTGGCGGTGCTTGTTATTTGGTTTCACTTGTCAGACGGCGTTTTCTCCATCGCGCCCCGGCACCCCGGGAGCTGACGCACGCACGTCCCTGGGTGCAGGCTCCGAAATGAAACCGGGGTAGCTGGGGTGCCCTCTTTGCCTCCGTTCGTTATTTCGAGCCGTTTCTCTTGCTGGCTGCAATCCGGTCCTAATTTATTGCTGGCCCATCTGATCCCCCGTGTTGTGTTTGCAAACACTGGTTGCTAGCCTGGCCATCCAAGTTTGTCCCCCTGATCCGGTGCCACCTTCTCCATGTTTGGTGCTGCCTGTCAGCCCGCGGCCCCGTTGCCGTTTTCGTGGCACGGTGTCGCGTTGTGGGGCGAATCCGATCGGCAAAGCTGAGGGTTGGGTTACAGCTTTGGCTCGCAGTGCGTTGGGGTAGCGACTTGGCCCCGCGTGCGTTTGGGTTTTGGGTGCCTGAGTCTTTCTAAGCAGCAGAGAATCTCTGTGCTGTTTCCAAAGGCCAGGCTGTGATCTATAGATAAATGTATGTATGGGGTACCTTATTAGGCTGAAGTCAAAAAGAGGTGGCCTGATTTATTTTTAATGTAGCAGAGCGATATATAAACTAGCACTGGGACAAGGGGTTTTACATATGCTGTAATACGGGGGGGATTTTAAGACCTCCGTTCCTCCCCTCCTATCCAGGACCCTCTTTGCTGCTTCCTTTAACATGGAGCATTTGTTTTGGTCATAAATGTAACATTTGCATAATTTTGATTTAAGGTCTTTAGAAGAAAGACTTGCTTATTTCTTTGTTCCCAAGGCACAGCAGCACTTGAGACAGGCGTAAACCCCCTATTTTTACAGAAGAAAAAAAAAAAACCACATACTTCACAGTGCTGCTACATGGGCTCTAGCAGCCTAAGCTGCCAGGGCTGGAGCTGCTGCTCAGCCTGTTTGTGTACGAAGTAGGAAGAAATCATGTTTCCCCCCCAGCACCCACACACCTTCGTACTAGACCGTGGTGTTGCATGTTTACTGAAACCTTTAGGTTTCCCTTTTTGTGGATGCTTTTTTTTTTTCTTTGCTTAGTATTGGGAAGGGGAGGAGGAAAAACCAGTGATGTGAGCCCAGCGTCCCTTCTGCTTGAGGCCAATGGCAAAGCTGTTGCTGAATTTGGGGAGGGGGAGCGTGGCAGTGCGGCCTCGGGCTGGCTCAGCAGCCCTGGCCCTCCTTGGTGCGGTTGTGCCCCTTTGTCTCCCCCAAACCCAACAGTGGAGCATCTTCCCTGAGCATCTCAGCTCATAGCAAAGTGGCCTGGAGTCTTGGGGGCTTGTGTGCTTGAGTTTCCTACTGGGACCTAAAAATAGGAAGTGGGAAACTCATTTGCATTCAGATGAAAAGTATTATTTTACCCAGAATGAAATGTTTAGGTTTGGAGTTGAGTGTCTCTTTTTTTTTTTTTTTTTCCCAAGTTAAATTAAATCTTTCAATGAAAAATTGAAGAGGTTGTGCCAACACATCTCAGCAGCTTTTAACACAAGAGGAGTAGCCTTTGTCTCCCTGGCCGGTGTCTTGGTGGTATTGTCTTCATCCTGCCCTTCCTCCTCTGCCTTCGAGTCCCAGCAGCGGGAGTCTTGTGAATCCGCTGAAGTCGTGTGTTAGGTTTTTAAAGGCTTCTGTGTTTGACTGTGGGGAAACACCGAATTCAAAAGCAAAGGTGCAAAACATAATTTGGCAAATAATTTTTTTTTTCCCCCTACTGTGTGCTGTAACCTGATGGCTGGACTGCTGCAAGGGGGATGGGGAGGAACCGGCTGGTGGTGATAACAACTGGTTGCTTCTCTGTTATTGTTCCTGGTCTGAGGAGCTTATTCATGCTCTGGCTTTCAGTCTTCTCATTGCTCATCTAACAGGGAACTAAATGAAGTGACTCGCTCTCATTATAGTGGGGAGTACAAGACCTGCCAGCAAACCACTTCATGCTTTCTGCCACGGTCTAAGAATAGCTTCAGACCTCTTACCACACCAAAGTCGCGTATCAGCAAAGTTGAAACAACCACAGAGGCACCTATAAAAGGCATAAGTACCTGTTTTATGTTGTCCCATGTTCGTGTAAAATGCTATGATCACTGTTGGTCAGGATATACCATGGATTATTTGTCGTAATCTCTTGTGAATAGATTATTAATATTATTAATTATATAATTTAACAGTACTGGTGTTACTTTAAATGCTAATTGGATTAAACTGCAGAAATGTATTTGAGAGTAAAACTTGATGCAATGTTCAACAAATCCAGCTGACCAACAAGACACGTGCCTGGCACTTATTTCCACCACAGATCTCCAGTGAATAATTATTAGGTCATGGTTGTAATAGGGAAATGTGTATTTTTAAGTGTTAAGTAACACATGTGAAATGTCCAGTGTGTTTAAAACTAAAGTGTGTTCCCTCTGCACTGCAGGGGAAGTCTGGCCCCGTCAGTCACTGGGGAAAGAAACTTCTGCTAACTCTATTAGGGCTGAGATTTCACCTTCAGTTTTCAGACTCTGATTGCTGGACCTTAAAAAAAAAAAGTATCTCTTTCTCCACTGGAATAGATAATCTTATTGGCCATAACACCTGGAAATTGGTTGTGTGTCTATACCTCTTGCATTTAGATAAATGGGGGCAGTACTGTGGTTGGAGACCACAGTTTTTTCTGTACTTTGAGGGGATGCTTTCGCAGAGGAGCGTACCGCTAAACTTCGCCTGTTCCACAGTAATGGAAAGTGTAGCATTTCCTCCTAGATGATGGCATCTGAGGGCTTGAAGGGCTGGCTTGCACAGTGCCTGACGCATTTTAACTGTCCTTGGGGGAAGAGAGCAATGACACTGCCTTAGAGAGGAACAGGAAGGAGATTTTTTTTTTTTAAGCTCTCCAGCTTCTTATACCCTTGGAAACCAAACTAAGAGTCAAGAAGCAAGCCACTACATTAGGCAAGTATCTCTGATGGTTGTAAAGAAAAACCTGTCTCCAGCTCTGTTTAAACTGGGGGGCACATCCCCTGCAATGTTCCTGGTAGGTAGCTGTTGGGTTATAATTAGCTGACTGCCTCATGTGC